AGCAGATTAGAGAAGCGCGACCAAAATTTATCGTTTTTAATGGAAGATAGAGCGTTCTCGCGAACGGATTAGTCTCGTGACGAAAATCATATCCAAGGAAGCACTACCCCTTTTCCAAAGACTATGCGCTGAAGGAAGACCCCTAGCTTACGCGAACGCGATTCCACCTTCGTGACGATCCGCGAGGGGAGAGTTTCGGATAACCGCCATTAGCCGCAAGCGAATTTAAACGTTAGTGTCTGTTAGAGCTACCGCGATGTCTCTTCTACGAAGAAGTACGATAGAGTACAACCGCAAGCAGAAACAGTTTCGCTTTGAACCGTGCGACTTCGGTCGTCCGGTTTTACTTTCGCGCGGTCCTTTTTGCTGATGAACGGTGCTGCTGCCGGCGGAACAAACGCGCAGCTAAAGGATATTGAAACTACTAAAGGGTTTCGATTAAAAGTAACAGTTTCGAGGAATTTCGATGTAAACGGGAGAGTCGTTTGTTCCATCGTCAGCTCATCGGTTTCGGGTGCTGATGTTCGATCGCTTAGCATCGTTAGACACGCAAAGACTAAAAAAGAAGAAGAAGAAGAAGAAGAAGGAGAAGAAGAGGAGGAAGAGGAAGAGGAAGAAAATATTTATTTGACTGATCGACGTGTAAATATGTTTATATTGTAACATAGCTGTAAGTCATATTTTGTACAATGTACCTTCGTGCTCACTAAGTTAATTTCGCGACTCTCCAGCCATTGGAGCGCATATGTGAAATGCGACTTTTCAGCATTTAGCTTTTTAAACGGTGTCTCGTTCGATTTGTTGTTGAGCGCGTGAGACTCGCCTGTACCAAAAAAAAGAGAGAGAGAGAGAGAGAGAGGGAAAAACAGTTGACGGAAAAAGAAGGGGAAAAAAGCAAGCAAAACAGAAAGAACACGCAACGAACGAAAACAGAAAAACGAACGAAGGGAAAAAGAAGGACGAGGAAGCAAAGGTTTTATTGAACGGTGCAGTTGCAACGTGTTTGTGCATTTATAATCGGTCATTCGAACAGAGCGATCTCTCACGATGTACGACGGTTCACTCTTTGTATACGATTGTTCGCTTGTTTTTCGTTTTACACAGTTCCTATGTACAGACGTCTCGGTGCGTTGAAATTTCCTCGGTAACCGCGCAACTTCGGTTCAATAAAGCTTTTCAACAATGTTCAAGCGTTCGCGTGGTCATTTCGTAGTCGGCTGGTTTTATCATCCGCTTTCGTTTCTCCGTTTCACTCGAGCGAGGCTATCCGCGCACTTGTTGTTGTTCCGCTGTAAAGACAATCAGACGTTTCGTGCGGCGCACGACCACGAGCAAAAAGAGAAGAACAAAGTAATAACTTTCAAGGAAACCTTGGCCACGATCGATCGATCAAAAGGAAAAAAAGAGACCTCTTTATATACGTTCCGCCGTCGAATCCGCTGAGCCAAAGTAATCGGTTGGCCTTTCAACGCTAGAACTACCTTTGAACTGACTTCTGCAAATTCCTTTGTAGAGATCTATAAACATTCATCAAGATTTCGATTGAATTGTATCTTAGTTCAGTTACCGAGTCAGCTTCTTGAATTATTTCTCGGATATCCGCATCTTTTCGGTGATCGTGACAGAACAAGTCAGGAATGGGCCATTTTGATCCATCTGGTAGTTGTAGTGTTAGATTCTTTGGCCACGAACATGGAATTGTAGCGATTTATCTGATGATAAACGTGAATAAGAAAAAGTCTCTTAGGATGCAGTTGACGAGTTAATTATTCTTCCCTGTTGGAATTGGTTGAACACGATCGATCGGCACCCATCGAAATATATCCCGGAAAACTTTGCAGCCCCGTTACAGTTCAACAGACATCATTCCATTATACGATACGTTCAGTACCAAAGATGAATCGCGTTTTACGCGCTCGAAAGGCCAAGATTGTAGACTACTTAAACGTTGTCTTGAAACTTGTACATTTCCCAGTCTATGGTAACGTTACAATAAATTCTTTATTCCATGCACGCGATGGTCTGAATCATTCACGCCGGTATCAGTGAAAGGAGGTAGGTGCACCAACCAGCAATCGCAGGATGCAGCGGGCGCAGTTGAAACGCATGCAACCAGGCGATAAAATCAACTGTAATTCCATGGTTGAAAGGCTAAACATCTTTTACACATTCATACATCCAACGACGTAAAATTTAAGTTATAAAAAATGTCTCTTTTTCTTTGTCATGCTAAATTTTCATTTTTAAAAATCTTAGTTTATATTTAACAAAAATATCGTAGAATATTGAACGCACTGAAACGAGGGCAACTCACGATATTTTCGATCGCGTGCTTGACCCATTGCACTGAAGAGTTTTCTAGCAAAAATACTCAACACTTTCCGATGAAGTATAGTGAACATTTCTTGAAACTAACTTGACAGGGAATCGTACGTAAATTAAAGAAAGAGGCTGTTTTATTGTAATATTTCACGTATTGATACAGCACACGAAACTTAACACGATCTCATGCAGTAAAATATGCAAAATGGAGAAAGTAAAATATTCATTCGATTGAATTGCATTGTTATTATTACACGTTAATCTGTCCGAATATCACATCAGGGAGTATTACGTATAATATAGAAACGTTTTCAAATGATCATCGTTTCATTGAGTGTACTATAGTAATTCGATTTGGTCGGGGTCACCGGTGACCCCATGGCATTCAACGTGTCAACATGAAATATTACACTTAATTTCTCTGTATCAAATTGTGTGGCGACTAAGTCACCTCTCGAGTGCAAAGGGTTAATTATTAAAGTAACCGAATCATATTACGAGAAAAGGTACAGCAAACAGTAAATAAGATTCGGCTGGTAATGGTAATGTCAGCATGACTCGAGGAATGCCGAATTAATGCAAAATTAATATCGTTGAAAATCATTTGCGAATAATACTGCTCGAGTAAAAAATTAATTACTCAATGGAAAGTAAGTGTATCGATTGAAAAGTGAACCGATTCTCCCCTTTACGTTACAGATTGAATTCGAATGAAAAAAATAGAGTTAATATCGTGAACCTACTCGAACAGTTGACCAAGTGGGAGAAACCTTCCCCTTACCAGATTTTCGCGCCAATAGGATTCGTTCAACAGACTGCCCATACGTCTATAAAGAATGAATTTGCCGATACATTTCCGTATCATAATACTGTAAACAGCATTATTTTAGGGAAGTCGAGACCAGCTTCTTTCCCATTGGAAGTATAGTCCGGTCGCATGGTTATCAATGATTTTCCTATGCATGTAAAATTTCCTGGGAGAACATCAAAGTATCGTGGACTATACGTCGTGACGATGGATTTCGATTCACGGCGAACGTAAATTTACGAGACCGTAAGTGTCGGTTCAATTAATACGCTTATTGATTGCTGTCGGTGACAATATTAGAAAGAACGTACGAACGTTCCATCGGATAATTTGCTGAAGTGTCCAAACGTTATGCAGCTGTCCGAGGCATAATATAAGCAGAAATGTTGGTTTGCCAAAGAACCGATAACCTAACAACTCTTTCATAAACAGGGAACAATTTTCAGCAACGTTTCGCGGATTGATATCAGAAATATTAACGTGTAACCGTTCACTCGAAGTGCTTCTCGTAACCGTAGTGAATTAAAGTGTATGCCAAATGCAGCGTCACGTTACGACAGAATTTTCAGTGAATCGTTACACGATAGAAAAGGTTTCTTTTCATTTTCCAGGGTGTTAACGTTTCTCTCTTTTTGTGCCGTGAAAATGGCCCACGCAACGTTACCGAAGCTTGTCTCGAAACCAATAAATACATCTAACATGTGTCCCACGGATTTTGTTGCGACAACCCCCTTATCCGACGTGAGTTTGACATTTACGATATAAACTCGTATATTTTATTCTCATATTTGAATTTCATTTGCAGATATTGAACTCGGAGCCAGTTAAAAGACTACTTAATCAACCAAATATCATTATTAAAGCAATTCCATTGAATGTACATGCAACTCCTGTTTCGCACAATAATGTTTCTAATAAAATGAATAATATTCGTTCAGACATAAAAGAATCAAAGCAATCCAAATTAAACACATTTCCATCTCAAGTTATTAAAGCAGAACAGAAGGAAGATGAAAATCTGTTACCTTCTAAGAAAAATGGAAAATCAGAAATTACATTAGTGCCTATTAAGAGGGAAAAAAAATCTTGTGGACACTATGAGCCATGCGAGAACATTGTATGCGATGTTACTGTACAACAGTACGTAGATCGGGATGGAGCATCACCTATGTTAGCAACTAATATAGACGAAGAGGAAATAAATGCACCTGTTTCAAAGCACTGTAAAAATGAGAAATGTGATGCATTGAGCATCGATCATGACCGTTGCCGTAGAGCTACAGTGAGATTATATAGATGCAATCGATCAAAAGCTTGTGACATTTGTGGTATCGAGCTACAGACACGAAGATGTCGAGTACATCATAAAAATTGCACTAGGACAAACGAATATAGACATAATGAAACTGATGGTGCACAAATATTGAAAGTACGAATGCGAGAAAGAGAGATTCAAATGATGGAAGCTTTTAAGTTGAGTAGAAAAGATTATATGGATCCTGTTACAGCAATGGAGACCTTAAAAAAGAATGAAGAATTAATTATTATACCAAAATCAACTCCAATGCAACAATCAATGATTAATGTCACATCTGTATCTGCTACTCAACCTACTCCACAAGTTAACAGTGTAAATGATCTTTTTGGAAAACTTCTATCTAATATACCAATTGTGTTACCACAGCAAAATCTAGTTTTTGGTAAATCACAATGTTCTAATGAAAATGGTGTAACTAATCCAGTACAAGTTACCTTGTCTGATACTTTGAACACATCATTCATAGCATCGAACCATCCTGTTTCTTTAACTCAGAATCAATATGTTACATTTGCAACACAACATAATTCTCAACCACTAACGTTAAATGATATACTGTTCACACAATCACATGTTATGAGTACACCTATTCAATCCAAGCCATTGCTAACACCTATTCAATCTAAGCCATTGATAACACCTATACGCATTGTGCCTATCACTAATTTACTAACGCAACCGTCGTTATTGCACCAAACACAGGGTATACCAAGATATTGTATTGTGGCAGATCCTCCTATACCAGTACCATTGACCTTAGCAAATCCACAACCTATGCAACAATCAACAATATCATTGGCTGTAACAAATTCACAACCTACTCAACAAACCACGGTTCCATTGACTATAACAAATTCAGTGCCTCTTCAACAGCCAATGGTGTCATTAACTGGAACAAATCCACAACCTACTCAACAGCCAATAGTACCATTGACTATAGCAAAAACAATACCTGCTGATCAAAGACCAATATGTGTGCCAAAAAATGATATTCGAAATGATTCTAAGGAAAGCCACCCAAGGAGAAGGAAAACATTTACAAGAAAGAAACGTAGATTAAGGAAGAAAGAATTCAAATGTGATTATTGCTTTAAATGTTTTAGTACAGAATGGTACTTCAAAATGCATGTTGCCAAGCATACAGGAGGATCGCGATATCCTTGTAAAATATGTAAAGAATCATTTAATAACAGTTACCATTTAAAGACCCACATGTTACTAAACCATGAAGAGGAAAGTCCTCAGGATCATTCAGATGTATATAAAAAGCCAAAACAAGAACAGTCTTTTCAGTGCATAGATTGTCCTATAGAATGTACATCCATGAAAGACTTAAAACATCATAGGCTAATAAGTCATGGTAGAGTAGCATGTACATTGTGCAATGCTGAAGTACTGCAAGATGAATTAGCTAAGCATTTTGCAACTGTACACAACCGAACTGACAAAATTGCAAATAGAAGTGAGGAAACAATTGAAAATGGTGATATTTCTAATGAGACTCTCAAAGCAATGATAGTTTCAGACATTATAAAAATTGGTACAAATAATATTAACTCGCAAAAAGGACTGCAGTATGAAAATGATGAAACAATGAATAGAGATGTTTCTGATATCGATGAGATTACCATTGAAAATATTAAAGTAGAATTGGATGATGAAATACAAGACATTCCAATATAACTATTTGTTAGAAACCTTGAGCAAGTGGCTGTTGGCAAAATATGCATAAGTACTACAATTGTTGAAGTGTTACTTTTTCTGTAGCAAGTTTTGTGTTGATCTGTTCACACTGATTAGAGGTGTTAATATTTTCCTAAATTTTTCTTTTAGAAATATTTCATTAAAAAGATTGTTATATGATAATTTAAATTATATAGCACATCCCGCACAGAAATATATCTTATAATATATTAATTTTAACTTTGTTTAAAAATATTTTATAAAGAGAATTATGAATATTATAAAATCGTCATTCAGATTTAAACGAAAATATTATATTTTTTAATGAAGTAACACGCTCTAAAAAGTTTTGAACGTCAAACGAGAAAGTCGAATTAAGAGTAAGTAAAAATTTGTTAACTGTGATATGTGACCATCTTTCCACTGTAACAGATTATTCATTTTACATGAACATTTAATATTGAAATTTAATTATTGCGACTGTGCATGCGACGTAGAAATATATTCATACATATCCCAAAACGCACAGCCGAGTAATTTCAGTGAAAAATAATGCATGCAGTATAAAGCCAGAAACTTTTTTCTTACTTCTCTATAAAAGTATTTTCTATGGAAAGAGAGTTAAACGCCATTTTTGTGCATAAGTGCATACGAGCTGTATTGTGTTCCTTTTATATTTAGTTGAATAGTTATTTAGTTGATAGTATTCATTCATTCTTTGACTTGTTCATTCATTCATTCATGTGTATAGATTTAAGTTTAAAAATGCTTTAAGTATTTTCAAGATCGCATACTTTGTCAACACAGAAGATGTGCAAATGTGTTGAAAAGAACTTTATTACAATGTCACCTTAATTATCAAGAAGAAACCCTTTAGTAAAAATATTTAAAAATGAACTTTCAGTTGTGTGTTTACAAAAAGTATTGCTCTTTACTTTACATTTTTGAAGATGTATTGCTACATGTAGAACACCATGATATAGATTACTTACAAGCAGCATCTACTTTTAGAAATTTTTAATTTTGTGCAATAATATTAAACACACAATACTTTCATATTGCAAAGATATATGAAAACTGCTACTGGATATGCCAGATTTTTAGGCTGTACTATTGTTATACAATATAAACATTTGTCGTATATATTGTTATAGAGTGTGCTTTAAATTTCTAAATTAATACCAAAATTTTACTGAAAGTTGTCCAGAGAGAGTAAACACTTTAAAAGAAAAGAATAATTCTCTTATTCTCGAGATATATGTTCCTTGATAAGAGAAATAAGTAAAATATCACGTGCCTTCTAAATTTTAATGTTCCTTGTATGAGAATGACGTTTATTCCGTTAGCCCTTTTACCGGTTATCAATCGACAATAACATTATGCAATTTTTATTTATGAAGCTAAATAGACATATTACAGTAATTACGTATTACTAGTAATTTCATAGTCTAAAAAGTTGAATATCATTATTTATAAAGGAACGGCATGAATGTTTCTCGAATTATGGATATCTAAATGGATTATTTTTTCAATGAATGTAACCACAAAAATGTTAAACAAAATATAATGCATCCCAAATATAATTTGTGAAAAAGATTGTTCATCTATGTATTTATATAAATGGTTTTTGTAATAAACGAATATTTAATATCTCTCACGATTATTTATTTAAAATAATATTTTATTTTTAATTTAAGGGCATCATAGCTGAATTACAATATTTTATATAGGTTCTTACTGAGAGGAAAAATAGATTAACTCCATGAAATACATAAAAAATTCTTTACTTAACCTTTTAAGAGAATACAAATTATATTTCCATGGTTGTTTTGTCATATTCTATCTAGAGCTTCTAACATTATAACACTATTACCACGTATTACCTAAAAGAACAAAACATATTGAAGCCTTATTCCATATCTCAAAACTGTTAAATTTCTATAGTAGAACTTACCACCATGCCAATGCTATTCTTTGTACCATCTTTACATTCTTCTATACTTTCATCTATTACCATATTCATAAATGGATCAAATCCACGTAAAATACCAACGACATGTCTTCCTCCATTCAATTTTACTGTAACATCACAGATATATACATACATACAGTGATTAATTAAAACAATTTAGAATTACATTGTTAAGTCTGTAGAACATAATAATCTTTTAAGAAGGTAACGTAATACTATCAACAATATATAACCTACAAGCATAATTAATTTCATTGAATCATTCTATTATCACTAATAATTGTTAAATGCTGTTTCACTTACACGATAGTCTCTTATCCATGTACCTACAACAAAACAAAAAAATCTTTTAATAAATTTTAATCAGATTGAGGAACAATGGAGTAGATTTATAAAACCCATAACAAACAGACACACTTACTTTTTAAGTTCAGGAGGATGTGCTTTACTCATCTTTAAGCTCTTGTTATTCCCAAATTAAGTGAATTACAATATATTCATTAATTACACACGAATGGTATATAGTTGTGGCTTCCCTTCAATATTCAAAACCTGCACGCCTTTACTGTTGTAAATTTCTTCAACACAAAACAGACACGCCATCTAGCGGTGGGGCATTTTCAAAGTTTTTCCCTATACCTGCAATGTGTAAGACAAGGACAGAGCTACTGTGCGACAAGGACAGAGATAGAGTTCCAGAAGCCACCTCCTTCGAAAAAGCATCTCATCAGTCCCTGGTACGTACGCGTGAAGCATGATGACCAAAGAGGTATCCGACAATTGGCTAATAGTAGTGCCATCTAGCGGTACCTATTGTAAACTACTTGCGACATGTCGATGAGAAAAACCAACCAAATCAGCGGAGAATTCATTAATAACACAACTCCTACGAATAATTCATTAACATTTGCAACTTAGAATCGTAGAATGGACTCTGCTGGACTTTCCCAGAAGGCTTTCGAAAGGATTTTCTTTCGCGCTGATTATTTATTAATTATTATTCGAGACGATTTGCCAAGGTAAGCTAGAATTTTATGACACATACCGCGTAAATCATTAAGTCTCTCATTTAATAGGAACAATTGGTGAATGTTTAGGATTGGAGAAATTACAATGAACCCTGGAGAACATGGCAGGAATAATTACTATCACATTTGAGCTGTAATTAGTGAGTTACTAGCGATTTTCGGATGGGTTCATTGCGTTCCATAAGAGGGTAATGAGTAAGACGAAGAGAGATATATAGGAGCGAGAAGGACAGAGATAGACACTTTGTGGCGCCATCTATTGTAAGAACGCTGAAACTTCTAGGCAAATGGTACAGAATCCTCTCCGGAAGATGGCGCGACAAGTATTCTCTTGTGATGTGTTTATTCAATATATTATTTATTTAGAATTTTCATTAAATTATAATGTTGAAATATTTTATCGACCAACTTCTATGACAGCTTGTTTCTAACTGAATATGTACAGAAAAATATCACGGATTAACAAAAGAACGTAAAATGTATAGTTAAACGATTTTTAATAACAAACAGAAATTTTCTTTTGTCGAGATGTGGTGGCGCCATCTAGCGGAAATTGTATGGTACTGTTCGGCGAGAAGTTTGAGTCATTCAGAGATAGATGGCACCATTAATCCAAGATATTGGCGGGAACTTATATAAACACCCCTCGAAACCACACGAGAAA